ACGGCAAACAACAACAACAATATATAGGAGGTGTCCCTAATTAACCCCGTCTTTTTGACCACTTGACCAAACTAGGTCAAGTGATTGTTTTTGGATATGGCAACAAATAATCAGGCCAATCTTCTTGTGCTGAACACTGTCAGACAGGAAACTTCTGAGTTGCTGGCAGCCAAGTTTCCTGCTCTAGGAATAAGGAGAGAGAAACACTGAAACCAAAGCTCAGAGAGAAGCAGACTAGAGCTGAGAGCTCTGATGATGTTTGAGTTACAGGTTCTAGTTGGTAGGAACATAGCCACATCATTGCCCTTCCCACAGTCTCAGTGTTCAATCCATGAGATACCTTACAGTAAATTTTCCTTTTTGCTTAATCTAATTTGACTTGGGGGTCTCTGTCAGTTGCAAAAAGAATGCTAATACACCATTTTCCCTCTATTTTTTTAAAGAAATGAGTTTTACTACTGTATGGCTTCAAGATTTTCAGAAATGTTACCCAATGATGAACAAAATAATTCAAGTTTTTTTGTATATAAAGAATGCCTGACACATAAGAAACATGATTCTCTTTAAATATAAATTTAATATTTTCTTTTTTTTTCCTTGACTTGATGGTAGTGCTTTGTTGTTGTTGTTGTTGTTGTTGTTGTTATGGTTGTTTTCAATTTTTTTATTATGATTTGGGTACATATTTACAAAGCAGATTGGTTTTACACCCAACAGTGTATAAATACAATAATTCTTTTTAACTGTAAATTGAGTATTTTCTTAATTCCAACAAATAATCTTCAGTGAATTGCTTGAATTTCCCATAAAAATATAAAAACAGACATGACGCTAACAGCACTGTTTCTGACTATGCATCAGGCAAAAATCTTCCCACAAGATTGTTGTTGTTACATTGTGCTGTCTATTAAAGTTCAACAACATAAAAAAAAAAAGTCATAACAATAATAGTACTTAACATTTATCAACCATTTACTATGTCTTGCTGTAAACTACACATTTTACATGCATTAGATTAATTAGTCCTCCCAACAACCTTTTGAGGCAGGTATTATTATTATCCTCAAGATAGGCTTCCTTTTTATCCAGGATAAAAAAGAAAACAAATTTAAAACCTCTTAGTGGAAGGAAGACTGGGCAATCTACTTCCGTAAAGATGTACCACCTCAGAAACCCAAAGAGGGTCGCGATGAGTCAGAATTCACTTGATGGCTGTGAGTTTGGTTTTGGTTGCCTTGGTCTCAATTGAAGTTTATTTTATGTAAGTACCAAACATTATTAGCAACTTTTCATGATTTCCCACACACAAGTTGGATCATGCAATTCAAGTTTTCAAAAATAACTTGATTTTAACACCGAATTTTTAACTGTTCAAGATTATTTGTAAATAGACTCAAGAAGTTTATGAACTTTTTTCTCTATTTTTAACATTTATCTCCATATTATACTGTGTACAAAAAATTTTTCAGTGAAAATACTAATACTGATTTCATATAAAACATGCTTTTCATTTTTACAATTACCTATTAAGAAGGTTCTCTACTTCTTGAACTTCTGATACGGAGTCTTCATTATCAGAAAGGAGACGGGGTTGAAATTTTCTATCTTGGAAATCATACAGCATGACAATAATAAGACTGCTCAAATGATTTGGCTACCAAGGGAAAACACATAAAGAACAGTATGCAAAACAACATCTAACAGCAACATTCTCCATTTCGTTATTTTTCCTAAAGGAGCAAAAATGTGACTACTTTTATATAGTCTGGTTAGATTTAGAGGCAGAAAAGGTCTTCAAAACAAAATAAAATCTAGCAAAGAAATAAGATTTTCAAAAGAATTTTTGGTATGTTCATCAAAATGAAAAAGGACACATGGTCAGTATTAGAAGTAGGAAAGAGGAAAGTATTTTGAAGAGATGTCATAGCATTAAGCAAACTAGCTATTATTTAAATCTCAAGGTTTTTTTAATACTTTCCAAATAATCATCATGAGACACGCTAATTATATAAAATTTGTCTACTTACTATTGTAGTAGTTGGGAAGATATAACTGTCTATTAATATACTTTCCAAAATATCTTGATCTGCAAGACAGGGGAAATGTCTGTTACTAAAAAGATCAAAATTGAAAATGAAAGCTTTGGAATTAAATATACTTTAAACAAAGCCATAGTATACTTTCATATTTATATCTAAAATATATTGTTAATTCTTTATAAAGAAAAATATATTGTTAATTCTTTATAAAGACTTAAATTATAATATTATGATGAAATATTTGTAATCTTTATGAATCCTGGAACTTTATAATCCTAACTCCATAGGGAATCATCACCAAAGAAGGATAGTCTGAACAGTCAAAATGAGTAAGAAAAGAATTCCAATCTTTAATTTAGGTCCTTTGAAAAACTTTAAAGAGGACTTAATTTATATTGTTGAGCCACCCTTCTCATCCCTCTTTTCTTGTCCTCTCCAATTCTCTCATACCCCATAATGCTCCAGAGTTTCTCATTTGCCAAAATGTCCCCTAAATACTTGTTTATCGGTTTTTCTCTCTCATGTTATCTCCACCCTTGTTTTGGAACCTTTCTTTGGAAGTATATTTCACCAAGTCTTTCCCCTCCTCCTGCCTCACTGCCCATTCTCCAATTCTGCCTCACAAAAGCTCAACAAATTAGTTGGCAAAACAGATTCTGGGGCTGATGCAAAGATCTCTTGATTCTCTAGTGCTGCTATAACAGAAATACTGTAAGTGGATGAAGGCCCTTTGACCTTAGGCTGCAACTCTGCCTCCTGTTCCAAGCCTACTTGAGTTGGAGGCTTTTTCTGACTCACGCAACTGCTGGGTGCTGAGGCTGATGAACCCAAGATCAACAAGTAAAATGGCACAGTCTCAAGATTAGCAGACAACATGGCAGGCCATTAATTCAAGTCCAGGAACAATCCAAGATCAGCAGGCAACATGGAAGGTCACTGAGATGAAGACTCTCAGTAAAATACAAGATCCAAACAGACCAAAAGCTAGAGACCCTTCTCAAAGCCTCTCTTTATATATTGGAATCAGGCTACACTCCTGTGTTAGACTGGGTTCTCTAGAGAAACAAAAACCAGCAAAGCTTATAGAGAGAGAGAGAGAGAGAGAGAGGAAGAAAAAAAAAAAAAAATTTATCTTAGGAAAATGGCTCACAAATGTATAGAAGCCAGCAAGTCCAAAGTCCCTGGAGGAAACGTTAGGCTGGAGGCAGCTTTAGCTTACGCAACTGCAGGGGGCCGCGAAATTCAAGGCTGGCAGTACACTGGTTGTTGACTCCAATGAAAGATGAATCCAAGATCTCCAGGCCTAGTGGTGGGCTGCTCACTCACAGAAGGTTGTAGTCAGCACGCCAGGGTCCCGATCCACAAAACAATGTCCCTCTTCCCAGGATGTCCCTGGATATCCTGGAAGCAGGCCACACCCCTAGGGATTGGGCCACTCAGAACACAGTCATCTGATCCCATCATGGGAACAACCACACAGAACTGGGGTTCAGTCAAGCTGACACACAGCTCCAACTATCACAACTCCTAAGGCAGCTACTCAGCTGCTCACGGCAGATCCCACCAAGGAACTGATTACCAGTCTCCTCATGGGGAATAACTACATCCAGCTGCCCAGCCACTCAAAACAAGGCCCAGCCAAGTTGACACACAACCATAACTACCACAGAAGGTATGGCGGAAAAAGGAAAAGGCAGTAGCCTCTATTTTATTTAAAAAAAAAACCTAATCACATACTATTATAAAGACAGTGACATGTTATGCAAGAAATGTACTCTTAAAGACCTTGTTGTTGTTGTTGTCAAGCTGTCATGTTGATTCTGACTCATGGCAATCCCATATATTAGAGTAGAACAGTTCTATTGGGTTTTCGTGGTTGTAAACTTCACAGAAGCAGGACGTCAGGCCTTTTCTGGTGCTGCTGAGTGGGTATGAATCATCATCCAGCCAAGAGCAAACTATTTGCACCAAAATTCCAAGGATCTCTTAAAGACCCTGCATATGTCAAATACGCTAATAAGTGTCACCTGAGATTTTATCTCTAAACCATGAATAAATGGATTTTAACCACAAATCTATGACAATTCAATCATAATCCTAGTTTTGTGTGAGAAGTTATAAAACTTTTTGGCCCTCATTTTTAAAGGCTCAAAGACTTCTTGTGTACATGCATGCATGAGTGTTACCTTTGTTACCCATGGTCCAGGTACAAAAGGGGTTGAATTTTAAAGCTAAATGGACTAATTTGTAACATCACATTTCACCCTTGGAGAACCTTGCTTATTTGTGCATCAAAATCCCAATGGTGTGCTAGAGCCAGCCAATGTTTTTTGGTTTTTTTTTGTAATTTCGGTGAAGATTTACAGAGCAAATTCACTTTCACATACACTCTGTCTTATGACATTGACCACAGTTTACCACAATGCAACAGCTCCCCTCCCATTTCCTCCCCATAGTTACCTCTTCCCAGTGTCCATCCCTCCATCCACTCCTGCCCCCTGAGCTGTCTCCCTGTGCATAAGCAGCCCTTTTTTCTCCCATGATTTTTGTCTCCAAGTAGTGTATCTACCTGAGGTAAATGTCCAACTCATATACCTGTCTTTTGTTTGGGAAACCACAGGTGTGGGTTCAATTCCAGACCTGAAGGGCAGCTAGGGGCCATAGTCTCAGTGGTTCCACCAAGCTCTATCAGACCAGCACACCTGGTC